AACGCTTTTTAATAATCTTAGGCTTATTTTAAAGGTCTTTTTCTACGGAAAAAGAATTACTTATAGGCATTAACCTGTCATTTTTAACCTGGAATAAGCATGACGTCAAAATTGGACAAAAAAATTGGAAAAAATTTGAAATCAATTTTTTGTACTAAAAACTATTCTAGAACATATATAAAACATGATATGGTGTAGATTTTTCAAGAAAATTTAATAAAAATATATGTTTGAATTTCAAAAATTATTTTTCTTTTAATAATATTATTTCAAATTTTTTGAATTTTTTTGTCAAACTTTGACGTCATGCTTATGCCAAGTTAAAAATTACAGGTTAATGACTATAAGTAATTCTTATTCTGTAGAAAATGGTCTTTAAAATAAGCCTAAGATTATTAAAAAGCGTTCATTATTTTAGAAGTTATTCAAATTTTTGTAAAACATTGAAAATGACGATTTTTAAGAATATCTTCTACAAATTTTGGCCAAATGACTTCTGTAAGGTCTTATTCTTTTCAAAATTTTATTGTCTTTCAAAATATAAACCAAAAAAAATTTTACTTTTCATGAATTTTATGTTAAAAAAATTTTGTCATTCCTTTGAGAATGGGTGGACTGACAATTTCGGACGGTACTGTAGTTTATAAAATAAAATTTCAAAAAAAAAATTTTTTTGGTTTATTTTACGTGAACGGTCTTGTTTTTTGACTGAGTACTTATAGACGGAGAGCTAGCTACATAAAAATGCATGTTATAAGGTACATGAAAAATTAATATTTAGATAGGTTCCATTTGAGTCCCTAAGTACCGAATGCGAAGTCTGCCTGCGCGTTCTGGAAGATTAAGCCCGCGAATTGACGGTCGAAAATGATAAATTTGATAAGGAAAACATGTGATAAAGGTCATGGATAAAAGTTATAAAATTTAAAAGTATTTATCACCAGTAAGCTTATAAAATTTTGGCAGACAATTTTTTGGACGACAAAGTATTGGCAGACAGTGTCAAAGTTGCGTAATCCGTAGTGAAAAAAAGATCATAAGAGTCATGGCTAAAAATTAATGGAAATAGTTAATGAACTCTTATGGAAGCTATATGTCAAGTGGCAGACAAAATTCGGATGATAACATCGAGGCAGACAACGATAAAAAGCGCGGTTCCCATGCGATTTCGCTGATTTCGCGCTATTTGCACTAAATAGTTAATTTTTGAAAAATGTGAAATTTTTTTGGGCTACATTAATTTTTAAACATAATTTAATGATTTTATAAACTTTTGAATGAATATGATTTATTTTAAATTAAATTTTTTATAAAAATAAAAAAAATAAAAATTGAAAATGTGATTTTTGTATAGAATTATTAATTTTTTTAATAAATAGATAATAGATTGAAACTTCTGAGAAAAATGTATCCTAATTTAAAAAAAGAAAGAGCAAAATCGGTCAGTTGGTTTAAAAGTTAGAGCAACTTTTCAGAATTTGAAAAGTTGGTATCAATTCTGGCGTGAGCGATTGCTGCCGCGTGTCGCTGGATTCCCCCACTCTGCCCACCTAAGGAAGGTAAAATCTCGCACTCACTTTTACCTCTATTTTAAACAACTAAATAGTGCAGTATGGATTCCATAATTTTTTTGGTAATAGTGTTGTTAAGAATCTTTATATTTGTATAAAAAAAATTGTAAAATGTTAATAAATAAAATGTCACGATTAGAAATATTTAAAAAAAATTATTTCCCCCCCCCTTGGAGTTAGGTGCAATTTTTTTCTTTTAAAATTTCAAAAAAATATGTTTAATTAAATTACTTTTTTTCCCGATATTATGAAACAAAAATTGGCTGAGATACGCTTAATTGTTTATAGTGGGAAATATTACCTCTTTTCTGCAACTATTTTTATGCAAATAAACAAGAAAAATCATTTAGTGTGTATATGTAAAGGATAGATCTCATCTTCGCAAGTGAAACGATATTTTGAAAAATGTGATTTTTTGAGTTTCCTTCATTTTTCATACATAAAAAGAAACATTGTTTTTAGTAAACAAATGGATTTATTTAAAAACTATTTATCCCATTGGGCTCAAATTTGATACACTCTTTAAAGGTATCAAGGGCAATACTTTCTGTCAGTTTAAAAGTCATCTCATTAAAATTAAACAAATTATTAAACAATTAAGAAATTGCAATTTTTATCTGTTTAAATTAATTTTCTCATGAACAAATAATTGAAAATTTTTTGCGACCTATCATTTTATATGTCTTTTTAAGCTCTATCTCATTAAAATTAAACAAATTATTAAACAATTAAGAAATACAGTTAATAGTGATTTTGAGAATATAAGGAGTGTCATATGTGATTTATTAATTTCACTCTACAATAGTGTTTTGTATTCGGTAAATTTATACATACAATGTTAACTTTTTGAAGTAAATTTACTAAATTAATTTACTTAATTATTAAATACTAATTTTTATTTCGCCAAATAATATTTACCTCAATGTTTATAATAAATTTTCTACGAAAGACTGTAATAATAATATAATTATGCACACTTAACCTTAAATTATAAGTTTTATATTATACTTTCCTGATAATATGAACTTATCAATTAATAGCATAAATTTTTTAATTGTATAAAATAGAATCTTATGCTTCATTATTTACATCTGATTCAATTTCCTCCACATCTTCTTCACTGTCGCACTCGATATCATCCTCAGATTCGATTTCATTTATGTCAGCTGAAAAATGAAAACAATTAATAACTCATACTTTTAATAAATAAAATTGTCAGTGTATGTATAAAGATTTGTACCTTCAGACTCTTCTTGATTGGATTGATTAATTTAAACAGATAAAAATTGCAATTTCTTAATTGTTTAATAATTTGTTTAATTTTAATGAGATGACTTTTAAACTGACAGAAAGTATTGCCCTTGATACCTTTAAAGAGTGTATCAAATTTGAGCCCAATGGGATAAATAGTTTTTAAATAAATCCATTTGTTTACTAAAAACAATGTTTCTTTTTATGTATGAAAAATGAAGGAAACTCAAAAAATCACATTTTTCAAAATATCGTTTCACTTGCGAAGATGAGATCTATCCTTTACATATACACACTAAATGATTTTTCTTGTTTATTTGCATAAAAATAGTTGCAGAAAAGAGGTAATATTTCCCACTATAAACAATTAAGCGTATCTCAGCCAATTTTTGTTTCATAATATCGGGAAAAAAAGTAATTTAATTAAACATATTTTTTTGAAATTTTAAAAGAAAAAAATTGCACCTAACTCCAAGGGGGGGGGAAATAATTTTTTTTAAATATTTCTAATCGTGACATTTTATTTATTAACATTTTACAATTTTTTTTATACAAATATAAAGATTCTTAACAACACTATTACCAAAAAAATTATGGAATCCATACTGCACTATTTAGTTGTTTAAAATAGAGGTAAAAGTGAGTGCGAGATTTTACCTTCCTTAGGTGGGCAGAGTGGGGGAATCCAGCGACACGCGGCAGCAATCGCTCACGCCAGAATTGATACCAACTTTTCAAATTCTGAAAAGTTGCTCTAACTTTTAAACCAACTGACCGATTTTGCTCTTTCTTTTTTTAAATTAGGATACATTTTTCTCAGAAGTTTCAATCTATTATCTATTTATTAAAAAAATTAATAATTCTATACAAAAATCACATTTTCAATTTTTATTTTTTTTATTTTTATAAAAAATTTAATTTAAAATAAATCATATTCATTCAAAAGTTTATAAAATCATTAAATTATGTTTAAAAATTAATGTAGCCCAAAAAAATTTCACATTTTTCAAAAATTAACTATTTAGTGCAAATAGCGCGAAATCAGCGAAATCGCATGGGAACCGCGCTTTTTATCGTTGTCTGCCTCGATGTTATCATCCGAATTTTTGTCTGCCACTTGACATATAGCTTCCATAAGAGTTCATTAACTATTTCCATTAATTTTTAGCCATGACTCTTATGATCTTTTTTTCACTACGGATTACGCAACTTTGACACTGTCTGCCAATACTTTGTCGTCCAAAAAATTGTCTGCCAAAATTTTATAAGCTTACTGGTGATAAATACTTTTAAATTTTATAACTTTTATCCATGACCTTTATCACATGTTTTCCTTATCAAATTTATCATTTTCGACCGTCAATTCGCGGGCTTAATCTTCCAGAACGCGCAGGCAGACTTCGCATTCGGTACTCAGGGACTCAAATGGAACCTATCTAAATATTAATTTTTCATGTACCTTATAACATGCATTTTTATGTAGCCAGCTCTTAGACTATTACCTAATGCCAAATAAATAATTTTTAAACAAATAAACCCGAAAAATGTAAAAAAAACATGGGAAAAAACACTTAACATTTAGCCCCAGGGTGCGTCTTTTGCTTTAACAATAAATATACAAAATCTGACTAAAAATATTTAGCAAAGACCTTTAGGTACATCTTTAGGGGACCAAAAATAGGCTAAAATACCTTTGGCGATGAGAATAAATCCAAAAATATACTTAAAAGTTGAAATTTTCTTATACGTAAAAATTTACAAATGTAGGGTCAAAACACACTCTACATTTGGACACCACAAAAATGAACAGAATGTCATATAACTTCGGACATTTATTTAGAGTGGTAATACCCCTCTATAATCAAAATTTCAATGCTCTAACTATTTCCTTTCGAAAGATAATGAATTGTAACTGTTTTGACAGTTTAACATTTAGCCCCAGTCTCTAATTAGTTAATATGTATTATTTTTAAATTTTGAATATTGAAGTTGATATAATTTTGTAATTTGCAAAATAATACAAAATTTAACATTGCGTTTTGTGCATTGTTGCACGTGTATCATTTGCTTGTATTTAATAATTATGAATTAATATTATTAATTTTTTTAATAATAAATTAAAGAAAAGAAAATTTAAAAATGATTGATTAATATTTATTAAAAAATTTATTCTTCTACCTGAATAACTCTTGTTCCCATTGTTGTGTTTTCGGAAAGATCGACTTCGTATTTTTTTTCGTCAAATATTGGTATATTGTCATTCACGTCTCGCAAGAGAATTGTTACAGGAACACTCGTCGATAAATTTGTAGCTGGACCAACTTCTTGAGCTATAATCTAGAAAAATCCAAAAATTCCAAAATCTATATTCAGAACAATTATTAACATAATATTTGCTATTGATTTTTTTATAATTAATTAAATTTATGTAAACATTGATTTGATAATACTTGACTATGAGTTTGTGTACACCGTGAGGCATTTTATTCTCCGCGCATACATCCTGTAGATAGCAAACGATCGCATACATAGTCGCTTCATTAGGTCCTAACATTATTTTTCCTGTATTTTGAAATTAAAAATAATTTCAAATAATATAAAATTATGACAATGAAATATAATGTTCTATTATAAAAATTACAACATTCTTTATGTTTAATTATAAACTGCAATTTTTCATAGAAAATCACATTTAACGTCGAACTTTTCAATTAAAATTATTAAAGAAACTCCATTATTTTTGGAAAAATCAAAGAAATTTTTCAAAACAATTCAATTGAGGAGCAATTTTTTAAAAGTTGATAAATCCATTTTTTAAAAAATTAAGATAAACACATATTCAAAATATTAAAATCCTTAGAAATCGATTTGTCACTATTCAATTTAAAAAAAAAATTTATTACTAAAGAATTTAAAATTTAAAAAATATTTCGGCCTAACCTTGATGATTTTTTATTTCGATCTTTTTATTAGAAAAAATTACCAAAACCTTTAAATTCCCTATAACAATAAAATTTATTTACAAACATAGAGTTTTAAATAGAAAAAATATTAAAAAATGAATAATTTATTACAATTTTTCTACATTAAAGTTAATTTTAATGGGTATGTGAAAATTGTCATTTGTTTAAATTTCTCGAAATGACAAAATTTGGTCAGGTTTTGAAAACTTACTCCTTAATTATATTTAAAAAAATTTCATAATATTGTTCGTAAGAATTCTATTTTCATAAATAATAAAATTCTTGGCGACAATTTAATTATTTTCAAAAACTTTGATAATATTCTTTGAAAGAATTCAATTATTTTCAAATTTTTTTGTAAAATTCTTTGTAACTAGGTATTTTATAATTTTCAATGAGGTAATTTTAAAATTTTTTAAATTTAAAAAGAAAAATTATTAAAAACATGAAACAAAATAGCAAACAACAACTAACTTCGAACTGCGAACAGATTACAGGAATACAACGATTAGTAATATAGATTATGGTTATTATTAAATATGATTTATTTTCTCCGTGATATTCCATTTATTATTATTATTATACAAATTACAAAATTTTTTATTTTCAAATTTTAATATTTTAACAATTTTATAATCAAAATTTTAAAAAGTCACTTATTAAGAACATAATTAATTATTATTGTTTATATTTTCAAAACTTTTAATATAACTCTTCGCAAGAATTCAATTATTTTCATAAATAACTAGAACCAAAAGGGCGCGCGTTGCGCGCCCACTCCTGGTCCTTTGACACACAAAATAAAACCTTAATGTAACCTTACATTAAATCTTAATTTAACAAAAACATTTGTTTATATTTTAATAATTATTTTTCTGTTAATAAGATTGTTTAAAAAATTTTTAATTTTTTTAATCTAAGTTTGACGAATTGAATTTTCTATAAAAAATTACACGTTAATGCCTATAAAAAGTTCTCATTCTGGAGAAAATCATCTTTAAAATAAGTCTAAAATCATTAAAAAGCATTCAGTATTTTAGAAGTCATTAAAATTTTTGTAAAACATTGAAAATTATCATTTTTTAAAAATGTCTAAATAAAATATTGATTAAATGACTTGAAAAATTATGTACAAACTCCAAGGATTAATTTAAAAAGAGAAAAATCAGTAACCTTCTATATTACAGAAATTGTGTAGATTTTTCTCCCAAAATACAGGCGAAATTTTTTTTAAATTAATACTTGGAGTTTTGCACATCAATACAGGGTAATTTAATTTTTCCAAAATATTGAGAACATTCTTGAATTTGCAATTGTTTTAAAGAATTGTTAATAACAATTTTAAAATTTCATTTTTTAACAATCCCTTTATTTTATCATTAAAGTATAGACTTTAAGCTTTAATTAAAAAAAATTACTTAATTATTACTTCCTCATAGAGGAAGTATTGTAATACACGGAGAGAAGAGTTGCAGTAAATGTGACAGAACGCGTTTAGTAAATCATTTAGTGCACCGGTTAGTGGCGCCAACTGTATGTTTAGTATAATACACTACGACACCTCTCTGTTTAGTAGAATATACTGTTTGCTCAGTGTATCTTACTATCTTACTAAACAGTGCAGTAGATGGCACTGTCTGTACCGTCAGTCCAAACCTAACGATTCTGTTTAGTAGATTTAACTGCCATGTCAGTAGAATCTACTACGCCCTTCTCTCCGTGTACCAAAATTATTCGAGTTCGATTTCTTGATATATCTTTATGTTATTTGACCTCAGGAGTTGCGGACATAAAGTGAGCGTACTTTGTGATAGATTAATAAAGTTTAACTAAATTTTTTTTGGATTTTTAATTTTCCAAAAACTATATTGTAGAGTATTTAAAAATACATTGATTGACCTAAGATTCAATCACTTTTACCATATTTATAAAAAGTTATTCATATATTTTCCTATTATTATTATTATCTCTATGAGGAAGCAAAGTGTTCATGAAATGAGCGCACCAAAATTATAAAAAATATACAACTTGGCAGCGGTTTCTTTATTTGTTTCAAAGTAATAATAACATGAAAATAAAATGATCTAAAACTTTAACACCAAATTACTTTAACAATACAATTTTTTTTTTTTGAAAAAGTTTCCCTTATTGGAAAAAATTTTTTTTTCCTTATTGGGTCAAAACCCATTATATTAAAACATCAAAGATGTTTTTGTTGGGATTAAATTATTCTCTAATTAATGATTTATTACCATTTATTAAATCAATTTTAATTAATTGTACACTATCTGCAAAAATTATGTAAATGCTACATTTTAGTGCTATAAATAATTTTTTCATTTTGCAAAATGTATTAATTAACATTTTTCCCGTCTAAGACATTAAAACTCAATATAAGTATTCAAAAATTAAACTTAAAAGTAAAATTTAATTAACTTTCCAAAATCATTAAAAAATTTCTTGACTTTGTCTTGTTTAATAAAATTAATATAATTTTGGAAATACTTTACATGTTTTAATGTTCTTTAGATAAAGCTGAAATAAGCATTCAGTTTATTTTAATACAATTAATGTTAATAGTATTAATTTATGCTAATAGTATTTAACATTAAAATCTACAAGTAAATATGTAAATAAAAAAGCCAAACATGACAGAATTTTATGTATTATCCTAACTTCAATGCTTGGCCATTTCTAGTTAAAAAAGTATCAAGCTAAAACAAAAATTGTCTCTTTCAAAACATTTACAATATAAAATGTTTTTTGCCGTTTTTCGCGAATTTTTTTTTTAAAGTAAGAATTTTTTTGAATGAAATAAAACATTTCTACTATGTTGTTCATATATTTAACTGTAACTCATATTTTTTATAAGCGTTTATATCAAAAATCTTCCAAATTAGGAGCTATTGCATATAGAGCTGCTCCGCCGGAGTTCATGACTGCCGTGCAGTCCTGAGCCCACAAATTTTGTTCGAAAGCAAAAATCAAGTTTATTCATATTTTATAAATATTTTATTATTAAGTAAACTAACTTTTAAGTGAAAATATTAAAAATTGACACTACTTTAAAAAAAATTCGATTTTTTGCCTACTTTTTTGCAACTTTTTTATTTTAAAAAAGGTACTAAAATTTTTTTTTTTTCAAGTTTATTTCACTTAATAATAAATTTAATAACGAACAATTTCCAATTTTTCATTTTAAAATCGGTCAATAACTTTTTGAGCTACACTGTACGGCAATTTTAAAAATCCTGTTTTGAGAAAAACGCATTTAAAAAAATAGTATCAAAAATTGATATTTAGGGGAGAGTCTCCAGTTGTGAGACACCTCCAGTTGTGAGACAGTCAATTTTCTTTAACATGCAATATTAAAAAGCCGATTGGTTTATATAAAACATTTCTTTTTATATGAGCCAACTTTTTCGTGTAAATTTTGAATTGATAATGGAAATCTACTTGTATATTCTCTCCCATTATATCTGAGGGTTAAAAGTTGCGCAGAAAATGTGTACGATCTGATGCGCGCGAAATTATTTTTCTGACATTTTATGTATTTAATTTAGGGGTTAGGTTGCCATATTTATTCATTTCGCGCCGGAGAAGGAAGGGATTTCTCAAGATGGTTAATTTGTCCCTCTGTTATAAACTCATTTTCCCTCCAAGAGAAATGGCACGAATATCTGTCAATGGTGTATTTGAACATTTAGATTGTTATCCAATAGCTAACTCTCAAATATGAACGATTTGTCCCTCCAGATGTTTAGTCCAATACTCCAGTTTTCTCAGTGTGGGCAGCATAAAAAATACGACTTTGCAGACATACTATTTAAATGTTGTTTTTATTTTTTTTTCTAGTATTTTTGGGCATGTCAAGTGAAAAAAAGTCAATTGATTCAGAAGAAATCAATTTAAATGCTCTTGTTGAAGCTATTAAATTGTGTTTATTTGATAGTCATATTTTGGCGAATAAATATTATTATTATAATGATTCTAAAACTGGCACCTTATTATTATGGCACCTGTTTATTACCTTCAAGACTCTAATTTTGAACTGAAATAAAAAATATTCTTTTTTTGTTTAAGACAACATAAACTTTTTTATAATAAAAAACTGGGTACTGGTTTAAGATTTATTAAAAAAATATTAAACCATGTAAAGTATTTCTGAAATTATATTAATTTTTTAATAAAACAAGGCAAACTCAAGGACGAGATCAAGCATTTTTAAAATGATTCTAGAAAGTTATTTAAATTTCTTTACAAGTTTAATTGTTGAAAAAGTAGATAATGTTAGTGACTTAGACGGGAAAGTTGTTAATTTATTACTTGCATTTCTTAATTACAAAAAAGAAAAATCATTTTATATCACTAAAAAGTAGTATTTTACTCAATTTTTAAAAACTTACCTCCTTATCCTTATTTTTAATCACAAAAATTTTTTTCGTCTTTTAATTTTGAAAAGAGAAAAAAAGTGTTCTTCACATTGCACTTTTATTTTTCTGTATTATATAATGCGAAAATCTGTTAATAAACTATAACTACACTGTAAAAAAAGAGAGTTAAATTTTAACTCCCCAGGGGATTCTATAAAAGTCGCACCCATTGGGGAGTTAATGCTAGGGGAGTTAAATAAAGAGAGTTAAAACTTCACACCCAAATGCTAACTCCCCAATGAAAAAATAACTCGCGCGGGTGTTGAATGAAGGGAGTTAGAAATTAACTCTCTTTTGGAGTTGATTTTTAACTCGAAAAATTTCATTCCAAACTCCCGAGTCCGTTAACTCCCTAAATTTTTTACAGTGTATATATATGTATACTCAAGTATAAAATAGACTACCAACTCTCTCTCTCTCTCTCTCTCTCTCTCTCTCTCTCTCTGGTCACTCAATAGACTGCCTACTGGTTGAAAGAAACCCTTCAAACAATAGGCCAGGTACTCGAGCAGACCTTTCATTTCTCTTTAAATTTTATATATATATATTTAAAATATCTTTCTGTCTTCTTCTTTCTAAATAAATAACATAAATCGGTCCCTGTTTATAACGCAGAAAATCTAACGCTATTGCTTTCTTCCTCTTTCCAAATAGAAATAACATAAATCGGTCTCTGTTTATAACGCAGAAAATCTAACGCTATTGCTTTCTTTCTTTTTCGAGGATAAGCAACATTAGACTGTCTCTCTTTACCTAATTTGCATATCTACTCGTTTCATATTAAGGATAACATTCTTCTGAAAAATTCAGTTATTTTTATAAATACTTAATAAAATTTTTTGCAATAATTCAAATACCTATTTTCAACAAAATTTTAATACAATTTCACGAAAAAATTCATTTTTTAAAAAATTTTAATATATCCGTTTATGCGCGGAGAATAAATTTATGCCTCTCGGTGTATACAGTAAAAAGTAAATCTTAATTTAAGAGCTGCCTTAAATTTAACACTGTCTGCTATAATGTTAAAGGATACGAAAAACGTGCGTAAATTCAACATTGACTGTCTCAAAAATGTTGCATCTTAATTTAAGGCAGCTTTCGTGCCTTAAAATAAGATTTTCTTTTTACTGTGTACACAAGCTCTGTTATAAATTAAATATTTACTTGAATCAAATAATTCTTATGTGAGTCAGTTAAATTCTATTTGCTTCAAAAACTGAAATTATTGATTTAAAATACAATTTAGTTGACTCAAAATAAAAATTATTTGAATCAAGTAAATATTTATTTGATAATGGACAAGTAATTGTTACCTGCTAAATCAAATCATTTTTTTCAACGTATGTTCCGTATAGTATTGTGACTACTAATTGATTTGAATTAAGGATTTTTAATTGTCACTTACTCTAAAATTAAGGCTATGATGAATTTCGTAATTAATGAGCGTATTATCTCGAACTGTGATTATAAAATTGGCTGCTCGTTCACCAACTGTCGGACTTATTTCAAAGGTCCCATTGTTGTTCTCCAATTTGAGTGCAAACACACCAGCTTTTCCGACATCCTCGTCTTTGACTTTTGTCGAATAAGGGTCGCTGAACGTCACTATTGTACCCGCTTCTGGATTTTCAACAAGCCATGCCATGTAACTTGAAAACAAAATAAAAGTAAAAATTAATTTTTCTTAATATAAATTTAAAATTATGAAATTACTACGAATTCTAATACAAAACCTTTAATTTTTCCAATTTCTGACAATAATTTCTTTTTAAATAACTTAATTCTTGCAGAACCATCATAAAATTATTACCTACTTTTAAACAATTTATTAATGAATAATTTTACCTTAATATTTCAAAATTAATTCAATTTTAAAAGAGTTGCGTAATTTACAATTTTCATAAATAAATCAATTTCAAAAGGTTTTAAAAATTGTAACGATGTTGATAGGTTTTAATTATAAATTTTATAAAATTTTAATTTTTAATGAATTTGATTAGAAATTTTAAAGAACTTGGATTTTTTAAAAATTATAGGTAATAATTCGAATTCTTCTAAACGAAGTTAAACTTTTTAACATACATTTAATTAATTATTAATAATAATGATTTTATAAAAGAATTTTAGTTTAAAACATAAAAACACAGGAATTAAATTGTGTTAAAATTTTTTTTTAAATTCTGGTCAAAATTTAAATTATCTTTATAAATAACAAAATCAGAGGTGTGCATTTAATTGAGTCGAACCGAAAATTAATCGACTCGACGACAGAAAAAAAAATACGTTTAATTTCGAATTCTATTACTGCAGATGACCAGAATCAATTCAAAATCATGTAATATGTTCTCTAGACGAAAAATAAAGAATACAAAATTTTTTTTCATTTGTTATAAACAATATTAGTTAACAAATAGTTAACTTTGGTTCCTCTCAAACAAAAAATTTTTTTTTACATTTATATTTTAATTTAGTCTTATTTTAAGAATATATATCTCTTTTTTTAATAAAAAAATTATTTCAATTGTTATAAACAATATTAGTTAACAAATAGTTAACTTTGGTTCCTCTCAAACAAAAAATTTTTTTTTTTACATTTATATTTTAATTTAGTCTTATTTTAAGAATATATATCTCTTTTTTTAATAAAAAAATTATTTCAATTGTTATAAACAATATTAGTTAACAAATAGTTAACTTTGGTTCCTCTCAACAAAAAAAAAATTTTTTTTTCACATTTATATTTTAATTTAGGCATATTTTAAGAATATATGTACTTTTTTTAAAAAGCAAATTATTTCAATTGTTATAAACAATATTAGTTAACAAATTGTTAACTTCGGTTTTTCTCAACCAAAAAATTTTCTTTTTCACATTTATATTTCAATTTAGTCTTATTTTAAGAATATATGTCCCTTTTTTAATAAACAAATTATTTTAATTGTTATAAACAATATTAGTTAACAAATAGTTAACTTTGGTTCCTCTCAACCAAAAAAAAAATTTTCCGCCATGTCCTCGTTCATGACTCTGGGTTCGGCTGAGAGTGGAATTATAAAAATTTGCTTCTGCAAAATATTTATTTTTTCAAAAAATTGTTGTTTATAACAATTGAAATAATTTGTTTATCAAAAAAGGACATATATTCTTAAAATGAGCCTAAATTAAAAAATATGAATGTGAAAAAAAAAATTTGTTTGGTTGAGAGGAGCAAAAGTTAACTATTTGTTAACTAATATTGTTTATAACAATTAAAATAATTTGTTTATTAAAAAAGGGACATATATTCTTAAAATAAGACTAAATTAAAATATAAATGTAAAAAAAAAAATTTTTTGTTTGAGAGGAACCAAAGTTAACTATTTGTTAACTAATATTGTTTATAACAATTGAAATAATTTGCTTTTTAAAAAAAGGACATATATTCTTAAAATATGCCTAAATTAAAATATAAATGTGAAAAAAAAATTTTTTTTTTGTTGAGAGGAACCAAAGTTAACTATTTGTTAACTAATATTGTTTATAACAAATGAAAAAAAATTTTGTATTCTTTATTTTTCGTCTAGAGAACATATTACATGATTTTGAATTGATTCTGGTCATCTGCAGTAATATAATTCGAAATTAAACGTATTTTTTTTTAAAATCGTGTTAATTTATTAACTTTGACTAAAATAAATAATTATAAACAATTGAAAATTTAAAAATCGGCCTCGAGGGATCTCTTAAGAATTTAATTCTTTTTAATTAAAAAAAAAACTCAAATCGGTTAAAAATTGTAAGCTGTAGACATTTTTGAACAGTAAATTGTAAAAAATCCCACTGTGCCACAACCGGGTACAAAAATTTTTTGTCAAAAAATTTCCATTTCACTAAATTTCTAATAAAACTTTTTTATTTAAATAAATCAATTTAATTCCTTCACTGACAGTCACCTTAGACCTCTAGCTTTAAATTCGTACACATATGACGGGTTCCACGTTAAGTGACCCAGGTCAAAATTTTAAATGTTTGGGATCGGGTTAAAATTTTGCAGAAACAGTAGTCCTATTAGATACAATTAAAAATACCAAATATTATTAATTTATTTAAACAAATATTAAAACTGGAGGGGGTCAAAGTTTAAATTTTTGGTCTAACATGGAATATTTGAAAAATTTGTAGTTTCTTTAAAACAAAACGAAAATACGTTTTCTATTTTGGGTTTTTCTGCTGTTTTTCAACACTCTCTAATGGTGTAAACAAATGTAGAGAAAAAAAATGTTAGACCTTGAAAAATTAAATTAAAAAATAAAATTTCATTTTTTCATCAAATGGACAGTTTTTATTTTTTAAAAAAAATTTTTATCATAAAGGTGACGTTTTTTCCTAAAAAAAATGTATAGGTCAAAACGTGGGACAAGAACTTTTAACTGGTCAAAATAAACATTTACTTCTGCAATCCACCGCCCCTGCTCGTTGTTGGGCTATATATTGTTTATAACAATTGAAATAAATTATTTTATGCTTTATTAATTATCTGGTGGTCATATTGGATGAATTTAAATTGATTTAGATCATGTGCATCAACGAAATAAGAAAATAAACCTCCTTTTTTTAAAAAAGTGTATTAATTTGTTAACTTTGATTTAAAAAAAATTATAAATAATTAAAATCTCCAAAATCTGCCTCAAAGGATGTCTTAAGAATTTATTCCCCTTTAACTTAAGATAAAGAACACTCAAATCGGTTAAAAATTGTAAGCTATAGACATTTTTTAATAGTAAATTGTAAAAAAAATTCCACTGTGGGACGGTGCACGGCAGAAGTAAATGCTTAATTTGACTAGTTAAAAGTTCTTGTCCCACGTTTTGACCTATACATTTTTTTTAGGAAAAAACCTCACCTTTATGATAAATTTTTTTTAAAAAAATACAAACTCCCCATTTGATAAAAAAATGAAATTTTATTTTTTAATTTAATTTTTCAAGGTCAAACAATTTTTTTTCTCTACATTTGATCACACTATTAGAAAGTGTTGAAAAACAGCAGCAAAACCCAAAATAGAAAACGTATTTTCGTTTTGTTTTAAAGAAACTACAAATTTTTCAAATATTCCATGTAAATTTTTGACCTGGGTCACTTGACGTGGAACCCGTCATATATTTGTATAATATGCACATGGACAAATGTTATGAGGCAAAAATAAAAGGGTGCCCACAACCGGCACACTTCCCTTACATAGCAATTCGAAAGTCTAACTTCGATTTTTGAATTGGCCGACTTTATTCGAAACTCGAGTCGAATCGAGCAATTCGAAACTTCAAATTTCGAATTGCTCAACTCGACTCGGTTAACTTTGGATTCGAATTGGCAGTTCGAATCTAATTTTTTCTCGATTAGAATTTTGCACACCTCTAAACAAAATTGTTCTCCGAAATTCAATTATTTTCAAAAATTTTCCTCAATTCAATTATTTTCACAAATAATAAAAATCATTAATTTATTCAATAAATTATTCATTTTTGTATTTAAATAAATGAATTCTCGTACACTCTATATCTGAATCAGTGAAAATTTCACTGATTTCAATTCAGTGGCCCAGTTTTCTTTGATAAATCAGTGGTTTTTACTGATTCTCAGTGAAATTCCATAACAATATTTATCACAAGAGTTCTATTATTTTCAAAAGTAATATAATTCTTTCCAGAAATTCAATTATTTTCAAAGATTATTTTAAAAAGTCTAATCAAGATTTCAATTATTTTCATGATTTATCAATTTATTTTCATAAATAAACGCTTTTTTGTTTTTATTTTCCAAAAACGATTTAAATTCATCAAAGTTTTTCCATACAATTATGTGTTAATACAAATACTGTATTTCAATAATGTTTTTATGCATATTGTAGATAAAAATTAAATTATTTAAACAATTTTTAAATAAATTATTGTTGTTATTTACCAACTTTCTACAGAATGCACCTACAAAGTTGCAGTTTTTTCCTAATTTTGCAACATACTAAACCTTATATGATTATAGATTACAATTTATAAGCAAATTATTAATTTGTTTAAAAATTGTTTAAATAATAATTCAATTTTTTTTCTTTATCTGTAATCATATAGAGTTTAGTAAATTGCAAAATTAGGATCAAAATGCAACTTTCTAGGTGCATTCTGTAAAAAGTTGGTAAATAACAACAATAATTTGTTTAATCAAATAAAAAATGTATTGTAACATCAAAATATATTGTATTTACACTGAGAAAACTGGAGAGTCAAATTCAGAGGTTCAAAAAGTGTATGTTTTCTTTGCTTATGAAGAGAGTTAAATAGTCCTTCTAAAATAAATTTTGAATTGATAATGGAAATCTACTTGTATATTTTCTCCCATTACATCTGAGGGTTAAAAGTTGCGCAGAAAATGTGTACGATCTGATGCGCGCAAACTTATGTTTGTGACATTTTATGTATTTAATTTATGGGTTCATCGAAAATGAAACCACTGTTAATCAAGGGTCTAACCAGTGATTTCTAATCTGAATTATATATCTAGATTTTATGTGGAATCTAGCTAGATATTTCTAGTCCGAATTTCCTCAGAAGAATCTAAACAGGTTCTAGTCAGATTGTTCCAGACTAGATTTTCTAGCGTGATTCTAGTCAGAATCCATTATTTGATAGGGACACGCAGGGAAATTTCTACATGGGTAGGTAATACTCAACTTTTTATACTAGTTTGTATGTTGTACCTATAGTAACATGGTTTTTATTGTAATTTTAATTTTTGAGTTTCTCTGCGTATAATATTTCGATAAACTTTTCCAACATATCACAACCTGTTTAAGTGAACGGGTAATAAAAGTAAATATTTGTACGTAAGGAGAAAACTATACTCAAAACGTATACAATGTTAATTTTTGGAAATTGAACTAAATTTAAAATATATTATAGCTTTTAGAAAAACTGGTCTTGGGGGTGAAAAAGCCAGGGACAAAAATCCATTAAATATTATGTGAAATTCATTTGTTTTTTACTTAAACTAACATTCTAATTTTACAAAATTTTCGCGTTTTTACTTAATTAAATTAATTAAACACGACGAATAAATAGTTCAAAATGCGGTAAAAAAATAAATAACAAAAAAACTGTTGCAACAAAATATGGCATCTGTGGTAAAATTTAAGGAAGGCTTTTAAAAAAGGTACAAAAACTTGGTAGTGTAAATCGAAAACAGGTAAACTTAATAATATTCAATTTTCCTTGATAAAAGCCTCTTTAAAATTTATTAAAATATTTTAAAACTAAGATTATTTGTCATATAAATAAAGAAAAACTATAAAAATACCAAAATTAATAACATATTTTGCTAAAATCGCGAGGTGGTTTCCCCCCCCCCCCAGGTGGTACAAAAAAGCCACTTGCAATGCTTTCGTAAAACTCTTATAACTTAGTCCTTTCATTAGATAAAAAATATTTCCGTCAAGAATATTCAAGCTTAATAACTAAACTTTCAATGCCAATTGGAAATTTGAGAAAAAAATTTTAAATTTAGATTTTATAGCGTCAAATGTAAAAATGTGGCTTTTTCACTCCGTTCTACTCTAATTGAATTGAAATGATGAAAAGTAATTGAATTTCAAAAGATTTGAATTGGAATTTTTGAAAATCTTAATTTGAATGGAGAAATAATAATGATTAAATATTCATTTAATAATAAATTAAATTGTTAAATATTTATTTAACAATTAAAGAAATTCTTAAATAAATTTTTTTTGAATATCTAATCATTTTTAAAGTGAATCAGAATATTCTTGAGGTTCAGGGGAAAAGTCAACATTTTGTCTGGAAATTACATGAAAAACAAAAATAATTTCTAAATATTTTATCTAAACAATCAGAGTACCTTTCTCTATTATTTCCAAAAAATTTCAACACAAAATATTCTTTTCTTTTTAAAATGAGATTGCAAAACCACAATTTTCTTCTGGAAGTCCATAAGAACAAATTTTCAGTAATTTTTATTTTATAATTTTGAAATTAAAATAATTTGTTTGTTTTTTTAAAGAAGAAAAGAAACATGTTTTAATTTTGTTAATTGAATTAAATATTAATATGATAAGGAAATAAAATTAAAAAGTAAAACTTAGGTACCAACTTATCGTTTTCAAAATGAGGTGGATTATTTCCGGGTTCGCCGAGAAGAAATCCAACTTCAACGACAGTTGATTGTGCAGGGGGTTCTTCTTTCCTTCGTCGAATTTCTTCGGCGACCACTTTCAACACCACTGGTGCTCCCACATAAGTAATTTGTGTCAACTCCTGCAACGGACGTGCCAAAAATATCTCTCCTGAAACATTACATTCTTCACGTTATTGACATTTAATTCACACCCTTTTCTCTTTCTATCTTTCTTTATTTCTTTCTTAATTATAAGAAATCCACTTTTTTCTTGAATTTTCTGGTTGAAGCATATTTTACAATTTCTTTTTTCATTATCTTCTACAATTAATTAGTTGTAATTAATTAGTAATTAATTTTTCAAATAAGACTCGAAATTCTTGTAAATAAATTTTTACACTGAGACAAAAATGCTATCGAATCAATGACATATTTGTTTGTCGCAATAAACGGCATATTCAATATCGTTCGAATACAAATACTGTTGGTTTAATAACATGTGTTATTGATTATTGCACTATAGATTTAAATAAATCTTGTATTATATTATTACGGAAGTTATAGTGTTAATAGGAAATTATATAATATCAAGAAATGCATTTCCTAGGTATAATTAAATCAATTTAAAAGCATATCCTAGTGATTTCAATTCTATTTTATTTTCAATCCTGCTATCAATTTTAAAGTACATGAGCATTTACAGTAGGGGAGACTAGGTGCGGTTGTTACAGTGTGCAGTTGTTACAAATGGAATATCTCATAAACAGTTGTCGGAGAGCAAATTTTTGTGAAATGTCTTAAACTTGCTTGACAACAACTTTGGGTCTAACTTCACGGGAACAATGAGAGACTCAGAGATTTAGACGGTACGAGGACCATATGATAACCATATGGTCTATGCGCTAGACAAGGACAGCAAGGGATATGAATTTGGCGACTCCCAAGGAAAGCGCGGTTTTCCAAGGGATGGCTTGGGCAGTTGCCGTTTTGGGTCCAAAGTGTGAAGATGCACTTTATCTGTTTGAGAATTCGGCATCTCAGAATATCATATTTAATTGTTGGCGATTCGTGTATCCTGATTCAAGCTTTAAGGAATAAATTCTTTGTTTATTTAAAGCTGTGTTGATTTATTTATTTATATTAAATCGGTATTATTATTATTTATTTATTGTGGTAAAAAAACATTTTACCACATATCAGAAGTGGGATACACATACGTTCATGTGTATCTAATTATAAGAAAAACAATAAACTGGTTCTGTGAAAAAATAGTGCGATTTTAAAGTGCAAAAAGTGATTTAATATTGCAAGTGGAAAATCGCATATGAACAATGGGGAAGCAGTTCTGATGAGGAAATCATCATCGGTATTATCATTGAGTGATTGGGCGAGAATAACAGAGCTGACTGTTTGGAGATGACCTGAGAGATGATGGAAAATTTGAGGTTGTATTGTACACCTGAAATAAGGTATGGCTAAGGATTTAATGACAATGATGTTCAACGAGCGGTAAGTCAGATCTTTGTTGATTGACTAGTGCTATTGAAGTTGTTTATTTGCATTTTGAAATTTGTAACAATAAATGCGAAAGGATGTAATATTTTTGAATAGAAAGAAATTATAAACTGTAATGAATCGTAGAAAATGGTTCTTCATGTTATTGTCTATGTTTAATGAGTTGTATTAATCAGATGTGATTAATCAGTTTTCTAGTTTGAAGTTAATTCTAGAAATCTGGAATCTTGTGCGTTGGTTTAATTTAATTTTAGTTCATCTTGAAACTATACTTTTTGAAGTATGAGTTGAAAAAAAAGATGGTTTAAATGAAATATTAATGACAGAACGATAATTAATTAACAGGGTGTAATTATTTTGGGAAAAATGTTCATCGTTTAATTGAATTAGTTGTTGCTTTACATTAATTTTTAAGATAATAATAAACTTTGTTTTATTTAACGTTTATTTGAATAACTATTTAGAGCTGTTTTATGTATTATGAACTATGTTAGTTATGATAATCTCTTTACGATTATATGACTTTTGTTGTAAGGTTCAACATAAATATTTACTCATGTTGTAGTAAAGTTTACAGCAAATATTTGTTTGCTACTTGTTAAAGTTTTTGTTCTAAATATCGGTTTCGAGAAATAATTAGTTAACAGGGTGTAAGGATTTTTGGAGAAAAATGTTCACCTTTGATTGTTATTGGTTGTTGTTGCTTTTGCGTCAATTTTGTGCAAAGAAATAAAATTCGTATTATTTAATGTTTATATTTGAAATATGTAAGTTATGATAATCTTTTCAGGATTGTATAACTTTCGTTGTAAGGTTCAGTATAAATATTTACTCATGTTTTTGTGAAGTTCACAGTAAATATTTATTTGCTATTTAACAAAGTTCTTGTTTTGAAAATTGGTTATGTAAATTAACTAGAAAAAGGAAAATAACATATTGGTTTTGTTTTAATACAAGGATAAATAGTAGTTTATCAATTCAAATAAATTGAATAATTTATTGGTATAAGTAACGTTGTTCTTTCTTTAAAACTAAAGTAAACGTAACTGATAATTGAGATTGGAATTTTAATTTTTGTTTCGAACTGAAATTGAAAAAGGAAATTGAATTCATGTGAAAACTGAATTTTGTTATGCCAAATGTGCATAGTTGAAGGAAATAAGTCCGTTGCACAGCGGGGGACCGACCGCTAGAGAAGTATCAGATAGATAGAAAAAAAGGGACAACTTTTATGACTTTTTTGAGTGTGAATCTAGTGGGTACTCCACTCTGAATGATTCTTCGACTCGTTTTTCAAACAGATGAAAAAAAGGTTCTTTTAAATCTAGAAAATTAGTTTTCTATTAGGATTTGTAAATTTAAAGCTTTACGTCTTAATTTTGTTCAATATTAAAATTTTTTGGGAAAATTAAAAATGTTGAGAGCATTTTCATAATGCGGGAAATAATTCTTGTTCTAAATGTTTTAGATATGTTTAAAACATTTTGTTAACAAGGTACGGTATTTTTCGTGAGGTCTCAGACGAGACACATGTTTTCGTTGCTGCATTGTTTGGGTAAATAAAAACATGCAGACAAAACTTACGAAAAAGGAAAAGAAGATGGTAGTTCTTCTGTCATCGGTTATTTTAACCAACAATGTTATACACTGTGACGAACTTCAACTGGTATTAAAATGGTTGTGAGTTCATTTTAACACCACCTTATGGGGATGTATAGCATTTTATTTTTGCTAAGTTAAAGTTGGAGTCTGTATACCACAAAGTAAATTGTGTGGATGCTTGATTAGTTGCACTGAGGGATACTTGAGCTTTCGGGACTACTGGCATTAATTTTTGTTGTGAATTTTGATTGCTGTTTAAGTTGTCTGATCGGTTCGTTAATCAAAATAACTGTGAGCAGGTTAAGGTTAATTCATAATAACATATGCGTTGCCATGCATTTGGCTGGAACACTCTAAAGGTTTGACAAAAACGAGATCATGACAAAGTGTCAATACAATGTGTCAAAATCACTCAAAATTATGGCAGTGAGAGCAATGAGTTTCTTTTAGGGCACTGATTTTATTCCTACAATGGTGGTTATACTCATGTTAGTAATTTATTCTTTGTTTGTCTACTCATAGGAGTAATAAAGCTTGAACTCACTCAAATTTTGAGTCATTTGAATCTGAGCGGTTTGAGTTTGTCAATTCGAAGTTAAGTAACTTATTTTAGTTAAGTTAAATAACTTCTTTCTTCAAACTTCTTTCATAAACTATTTGAGATATAGATTTCCCTATATTGATTGGTCATGATTTAATTTTCGAAATTAAATTTTTGTAAATAAGAAGGAAATAGGTACTTATTCATGTAGACATTTTCTGTTCTAAGGTTCTCATTCTTAATAAGTAAATGCAAAACATTAACGTTTGAAAATTTATTGGTTATTACATAAATTTTGTTTGGCATTTTGAATTAGATTGATAATTGTATCAATCCGTATTTTTCTGGAATTTATTGTTCCGTGTGAGTTAATAATAGCACTAGGTCAAGTCAATAGCAATAGATAATAAACCGTCTCGTATGAAATGGATTGGAGCCATAAGGTTTCACTGTTGGAGAAGAACCGAGAAAATAAAGAGAAACAAAGTGGCTAAGTATTACGAGTATCAAACAAGGTTGACTCTGTAATATACTGCTGGTATGAAGTTGTTTACAATATTTTGAATGTTCACAGAATGGTTGCACCTTTAACTGCCGAAGTTGATAGTAGAGAGACATCAAGCTTTTGGCGAGAAGGGTGACTGGAATCCGTGATCGGGCATTTGGAATTGCCGTAGCTATCATGGACATGGACCTGTTCAAGGGCTGTGGTATTTGCAGTCCGCGGAAATGGGTCATGACGATACTGCTGCTCAGTAAGCTGCGTGACATTGGGACAAGTTAAAGTCCGAACGAGGTCAGCGCTTGAGACTGTTGGGCCTTGGGTCTGAGCAAGGTTGGGAAAGCGTGAGCTTTGCCTGGACATTGGTCAGCGTGACGTGTGTCATCGCCGCACGAAAATTGTTTTGGGTTTGATGGTACGGACTGTAGGTCTGCATCTTTCCAGGTTCTGGTGAGCACGTAGTTGTAGCCGAGGTCTGCTAGGCAGATATGCTCAGTGAGGTAAAGGCCAATGCTAATCTCGGGTAGGTCTGTACAGGTTCCCCTGATGAGTTACGCTCGAACGTGGTGCTCAAAAGGAATAAAGTCCTAACAGATCCAGATAGGACCGACTAGGCATCTGTAGAAGTGATCTTGTAGGGATGCTCTACAGAGTAAAGCCCTAGGAAGTTCTATGGTCGATTTTTCACTTTCTGAATTCTGAATGCAAGTACAATGGTTTCTCAAAACAATAGGGCACTGTCAGAGAGTGGCCACTCTGTACAGTGGGCCAAAATTAGATTGAGAATTCTATTGGTACGGTTTAGTTCTACACAGGATTAATTTGTATGAAACATTTATGTTGGATGAATTGTTTGTTACAGAAATTACAGGATCCAACTGAAAATAGAATAAAGTCGAGGACGGCTTGTTGTGGTCAGGAAAGGCCGTGTCGGAGAGGAAATTTTTGTGAAATGTCTTAAACTGGCTTGACAACAACTTTGGGTCTAACTTCACAGGAACAATGAGAG